CACGGATGTTGGAAATTCGAGCAACTGGTAGTGACCCATTGCTACAGTTGAAGGTAAGGAAAAGAGTTTCTCGAAATCGTCGTACAGTGTGCCTTCGAGCATCCTGTGCTCCATGGAAGCCTATGCCTCTATCTACAAAAAAACCCCTTACGGTTTTCTAGTGAAATACATCTCTGAAGAAAGAACATACCGGGAAAGCTCCAAATAATGCCGCAGCGGTCAGGACGATGAATAAATTCATCTGAAAATTATTCAGAATATCCTTTTGTCTGCTATTGTGTTACCAGATGATTTTTCAAGATCCCAACAAATGTTCTTTCGGGAAAGCAATTGACTATTGGGCAAAATGATCGAAAACAAAGCCTACATATGAAGCAGAAAGAGCTGTGAAGGTTCAATGAAGAGGAAGTGAGTTGACGGGTTGCCACCAATGCTACCACCCTGCTTTTATACAGAACTCCCATAATCAACTGGGGGCGTCAATGTTGTCTTTTTCTGAAGGCAGTCCTCAAACAGTCTGCAACCACCTCTATTCTGCATTCATTTTACCACTATTTGAACAGCTATTATTGGATTTTTCTACTAAAAACAGTATTTTCACAGTGAAATTTCACAGTGAAATTTATAAAGTCTGAAGGAATTAGAAGAGCTCCAAGAATGGCGTTATTCTCATGTGCATGGAACCGCTACCTCCCTGTGTAGCAACGGAATCTTTAGAGTAAGTTCGTCAAGCAAAAAGACCTCCAGAAAGGCCTTTAAAAACAAATTTCAAAGCTCCTTCTGGGAAGTCTGGAGTTTTTTTTCCTGTACAGCAAGGAGGCAATGGGTGCGGAGGACGAGGAGCGACCACGTATGGGGCTGTCTGAAGATATCCTCCAAGTAAACCTGAAGGAATTCTCGGCCTGGTGATCGGTACAGATCATAAGAAACAGAAAAACAGCAAAGTGAGGGACATCCTTCATTCCGGATTAATTCCGTCGTCCCTAGTTGATAGGCAATGTGCAAAATGCCTATTGCCCATCAACAAAGGGCCACGGAGTTAATCCGGAACGTAAACGCAATAAAATTATTTGCTAGTGTTGCCGCAATACAAGGGTTGTCATGGATCAGGGATGATAAAACAAGTAATAAAAGCTCAGTTGAAAATGGTAAGTAAATAGCAAGAAACGATGTCTCGAACAGATCAGGGAAACTGAAGTCCTCATTCTTATAAAGAGCTACTGAATCGAATCCTAGTATAGGAAGAATGATGTGTGTATAAATCCACAGGTCCAGTTGTGGAATAGTGAACTGATTCAAGAAGCTGTATCTGAAACAGAAACAGCTAACCCTCATGACTTCTGTTTGTTCTTGAAGGGGGCTACAGGGATCCCAAGAATCCCACAGGAGCAGGGAAACAAATGTTTCAGATGTGTGGGTGAAGTTATGGGAAACAATGCCGATATTTACTTTTATCAATTTCATAGTGAAAATACTGTTTCAGGAGAAAAATCCAATAACAGCTGTTCAAATAGTGGTAATATGAATGAAGAATAGAGGTGGTTGCAGACTGTCTGAGGGCCGCCTTCAGAAAAAGACAACGTTGACGCCCTCGGTTGATTATGGGAGTTCTGTATAAAAGCCACGGTGGTAGCATTGGTGGCAACCCGTCAGCTCACTTTCTCTTCATTGAACCTTCACAGCTCTTTCTGCTTCTTATGTAGGCTTTCATTCCGATCATTCCGCCCAGCAATTTATTGTTTTACCAAAGGAGCATTTATTGAGGTCTTGAAAAATCATCCGGTAACACAATTGCAGAAAAAGGATATTCTGAGTTAATTTCAGATGAATCTATACCTCATCCTGATCGTTGCGGCCTCATTTGGAGCCTTCCCGGTATGTTCTTTCTTTAGAAANGGTGTAATTCCCAATGGAGGGGCTGGAGGACAATTCCGTGGAGGTCCAAGAGGACAGTTCCACCACGGACTAGGAGAGGNGAGTTCTGTATAAAAGCCACGGTGGTAGCATTGGTGGCAACCCGTCAGCTCACTTTCTCTTCATTGAACCTTCACAGCTCTTTCTGCTTCTTATGTAGGCTTTCATTCCGATCATTCCGCCCAGCAATTTATTGTTTTACCAAAGGAGCATTTATTGAGGTCTTGAAAAATCATCCGGTAACACAATTGCAGAAAAAGGATATTCTGAGTTAATTTCAGATGAATCTATACCTCATCCTGATCGTTGCGGCCTCATTTGGAGCCTTCCCGGTATGTTCTTTCTTTAGAAACATATTTTATTAGAATCATCTCCCATTCAGTCCGACGTAAGGTGCTTGGGATATATTGATTGAAAATTTGGGGTCTGGGGAAACTAGCCTGTTACCTAGTCGGTATTATCCAGTAACAAGGGATTCGGTGGATGGTAGCCAACTCCTTCATGTCGGAGAACTCTTAATTATTCGCTTGAGCTGTTCTACCTTCCAGGTATCATGCATTATCAGAATTAGGCAGTATTATTCGCTACTGTTATCTTTGAAGGAAAGGGCTCAATATAAGACTGCTAGTTTCTCTTTCATTCAACTTGATTCCCATAGAAAACTATCCTTCAAGGGAGGGGAATAAGTTCGATAGTTTTATAAGTTTTCTTTTTTCAGAGCTTAGATGCGGCACCAAGAGAGGATGTTAGCAAAACATCAGCCCGTGGGCCAGGTGTAATTCCCAATGGAGGGGCTGGAGGACAATTCCGTGGAGGTCCAAGAGGACAGTTCCACCACGGACTAGGAGAGGAACCGTTCAGATTCCCAGGAGGACAATTCCACGGAGGAGCTGAAGGACAATTCCGCGAAGGCCCAAGAGGACAGTTCCACCACGGACTAGGAGAAGAACCATTCAGAGGCCCAGGAGGACAATTCCACGGAGGAGCTGAAGGACAATTCCGCGAAGGTCCAAGAGGACAGTTCCACCACGGACTAGGAGAGGAACCGTTCAGATTCCCAGGAGGACAATTCCACGGAGGAGCTGGAGGACAATCCCATGGAGCACCAAGAGGAGAGCCATTCAGAGGACTTGGAGGAAACACGAGCGGCGGTGCTGGTAGTGATCAAGAGAGGCAATAAAGCCGTAGCGTGGTCCCTTCCGTATGAACTTCGCAATACATAGTTGTTAGAAAACATATAAAAAGTCCTATAAACAGCAATAAAATGTATTTGACAAGTGTGTTTACATAACAAGAGCTTATGTTGGAAAAAATGATAAAAACATTTGACAAATTAGAAATCTCACTTAAGAAGCAAAGAACTACGTCGTGAAGTTGCCAGGACAGATTTTGACATCTGTTCGATACCGATGTATAGGATTTGATTCTATGTGATATGACGGAGTACGCCATGACTAGAGACCAGTTCAACTAGTAAATAAGCCTGTACTGTTCGGTCCTATTTTTTTCCCATGGTATGGCTCGATTCTCAATGAAATGATTGCCGAGATTCTCATGTAGGGCGAATCCATGGCTCCTTGGAATGCCATGAAAGGTGTTGTAGGGTCAAACAACGGTCCGCATAGGGCGCAACAAGGGCTTGAAGAAGTGCTTCGTCGACATTTCTACCCAGGAGCGGACGAGTTTTCAGGCTGCCGTTCAGAAACTAGCCCTCGCTGAAAATTCAAACAATACACGTGACCCATGGAGACAGAGGAAGGTAGTGTTGGGCATACTGGGAAGCTTGCCACAACATCTACTTCGAGATCTACTCAAATGACTGCTCCTGTTATTACAGTAATTAGGAATTATGGATATGCTTTTGATGATACTTTGGTATAGAAAAGCATACACCCGCGAAGAACTGATTGGATAGCTTAATAGGGCTCTATGACTGAGATTGGCCGCCAAAATGAACTTACCACTATTGAACCCTGACCTGTCTCAGAGAGTTCTCATTCGAGAAAATTTCAAAAACTCTGAGTGAGCGATGTTTGTAAGAGCGGTTATGCTTTATTTATCCCAGCCCCGAGGGCAATTTTCGGACAGCTTTGGTCCTTGCCTGCATTCGTCTGTCCTCATTTCAGCATGCCCTTCCGTTGTGGACAATACCTTGCCCTAAAGTTTTAACCGCCGAGTAAAAATATGGGTCACCGAGTAAAAACTCAGTGACCCATATTAGAGGATGAAATCTTTGGGCATTAATCAATCTTGCATTCGACTTCCATTCAGACTTGTAGTCGAGTATTGAATGCGTATGTGACCACTACAATGACTTGCGGCGGCCAGACGATGTACACGTCAGTGCTTTTATCCTCCAAGACGAGTCTGGTAGTAATTAACGACCCCGGTGGGATGGAAGACTTGGTTAGTCTAGGCGGATATCGATCTTGGATTCGACTTCGTAAAAATGCATGGGAGATAGTATGCCACTTTCTACTACACCACTTCCGCCTATGTCCAGGCTAACGACCTGCAAAATAGCATTTCTGAAACAATACGAAACACACTACTCCTTGAGAGGTCGGGACAAGTTCGGCATGGATGGAGCCCAAGACAAAATTAATAGAGCACATACGAGCTCTGCGGAGCTTCGCCCGCGGTGGGCAGGGCAAGCGCCGGAATGGGCGGTGCCAACAGACAAACATCTTATTTTTGCTTCGAAAAAGTCCAGACGCCGGGGAAAAATGTTTAAAGGTGGGGATTGGGTCAAGAAACCAGACGGTGGAGACCCACGTACAGTGGGCGGAGCTTTCTCAAAATGAGCGGTTTTTTTCAGATGTATTCATAACTCGATTCAATTAAAGCGCAGAGGCCAGGAAAAAAAAAGAGTGAGCAGGGCCTTTTGCGTGCTGGGCATGCGTAAGCTTAGCGAAGCCCCACCCACGGTGGGCTGGGCGTGCGTTAAGGTGAAAGCTAGTTTTCAAAAATGAGTGTAACTTCGTTCGAAAAGTTCTAGAATGCGGGAAAAAAGTGGTTAGAGGTAATGGAACAAATGTGGTCAAATTTTCGAAGCGGGCGGGGTTGGCACCAAAGTTGGCGGAGCTTAGATCAAAAATTTATAACTCTACTCAGAAACGCTCTGGGATGCGGCAAAAAGGTATTAAGGTGTAAAAGAACAAACGTGGTCAAATCCTAGAAGTACGAGGGGTTGGCACTAAAGTGGGCGGGGCTTAGATCAAAAATTTATAACTCTATTCAGAAACGGTCAGGGATGCGGCAAAAAGGTGTTAAGGTGTGGCTCGGTCCCTCATGGCTACAGCCCCTAGCGCACGCAATAGCGTGCGTAACCACCTGGTACAATATAAAGGAAATAATGAGCCACGGGATGACAGCCAGTCAAAAAAACAGTAAGTAATTTGAATCATGTGAACAGCTTTTGTGAATAATCAGAGCACTACCTCGTGAATCCGGGTATTCTTGGGATCCCAGTAGTACCCGCCACGAGCGAAAGAAGTCAGGAGGGGGAGTTGTTTCCTAGATGCAGGAAAGTCAAAACAATGATGCTTTGCAAGTTTATCTTGAAGCCAGTTCACTATTTCACAACTGGTTCTGTGGATTTATACACACATCATTCTTCCTAACTCAGAATTCGATTCAGTAGCCTCTTTTTGAGTACCATAAGAGTTTTTGTTTCCCTAGTCTGTTCGAGACATCGTTTCCTGCTATTTTGATATTTTCAAGTGAGTTTTCATTTTATCACTTGTTTTATCATCTTTTATCAATACGAGGGTTGCCTTTTATATTTCGAGATTGAGCAACCCTAGTGTTACAGTCTGGCAACTGGCAGCTCTATCGTAAAGTTTCACCTTTTTGAGGTTGTACATACCCAAAAAACCTAACTTGCAAGATTTATTCAGGCCCAAAAATTAAATTGTATCGTAGTCATTTTCGTGCGATTATTTTTTAGAACTTCCAACGTGGATTAACTCAACAATAGTGTATGGATGAACTTACCANTAGATCAATTTTTCGCGATAAAGGGCTAGTGTTTGTCAATGGTATGGTGAATTCATCCGAGGTCGTAGTTCACTCCAAGACGACTTTCGTGGAGGTCGTCCAAAAACAGTTGTTGCACTGGAAACTCATCAAGTGACTCGTCATGCGACCTATCGTGAGATTGAGACAACCTTAGGCTTTAGAGCGACCAGCATACATTCAATATTGCAGGAACATTTGACTGTCAAAAAAATTGTGCGAAAAAACCTTCACCACACAATGCGAGCTCTCAACTAAACTACAAACAACTGCATTTTTGAGCACTCGAAACATCGATTTGATGAGTAATCTACCGTATAGCCCTGGCTTGGCACCAAACGACTTCTTTTTATTCCCGCACGTACAAAAAATGAGAGGTTAACGTTTTTTGACATCTAAAGAAGCGATAAATGCGTTCAGAATGCATGTTTTGGAGATACCTCAATGAGAGTGGCAAAAGTACTTCGACATTGGTTCAAACACAGTATAGGTCTTAATAGGGAATATTTTGACAAACAATAAGGCAATTTTTAATGACAAGTACTTATTTTTGTCCTCTATTCCCGAAATATAAAAGGCAACCTACGTAAAAGCACTGAATTGTACATCAGCTGGTCACCGCATGTCATTATACGGGCCACATACGCATTGAATACTCCACTACGGGTCTGAATGGAAGTCGAATGCGTGGGCGCATCCCTCTAACATAGCTCACAGAGTTACGCCTCCATATTCTCACTTGGCTGATCTCTGATCTGACACTTCCCTGTATCTAGTAACAGTGTTACGAAGGTCTCGCCACAAAAACCTAAAAGGCGGCAATAGGCAGTGTGAAAGTTTAGGGAAAGGCATTGTCCACGACGGAAGGGCATGCAGAAATGAAGACAGACGAATGTAGGCAAGGACCCAAGCTGTCCGAAAATTGCCCTCGGGGCTGGGGCAAATAAAGCATAACCGCTCTTACAAACATCGCTCGCTCAAAGTTTTTAAAATCTTTTCAAATGGGAACTCTCTCTCAGTCAGGCCAGTGTTCAATAGTTCATTTTACCGGCCCACCTCAGTTGTAGGGCCCTGTAGAGTTATCCAATCAGTCTTTTGTAGGTGTATGCTTTTCTATACCAAAGTATCATCAAAATCAAATCCACAAATCCCAATTACGGTAATAATAAAATGATTGGAAATACATCCACGTGGGCAGCCATTTGAGCAGGTCTTGCAGTAGATGTTGGGATAAACTGCCTAGTATGCCCGAAATTTCCTTCCTCTGTCACCACGCATGGATCACGACTACTATTTGAATTTTCAACATAAGTTACCTTTTGAACGGTGCAGCCTAGTAACTCGTCCGCTCCTGGGTGGGAATGTCGACAAAGCTGGTCTTCGAGTCCTCATTGCTCCCCACTAGACCGTTGGTTGACCCGACAGCGCCCTATATATGTAGCATTCTTGGGGCGACAGGTTTGCTCCATTCAGAGATCTCCGGAACCATTCTTTTCGGGAGGAGTCATATAATAGAGCCAAATACGGGGAGCGAAAAGAACACAGGCCTATGTACTGATTGTATTGGTCCGGTCTCCTAATCATGGCGCACCCATATCATATCACATCGAATCAAACCCACCATCAGTATCGAAAAGGAGTCAAAATCTGGTTTTCGTAGTTAGGAGGTAAATCCACAACATAGTTCATGTTTCTTATTTGAGATTTTCAATTTAGCATACGATTCTATCATCATTTATCAGCATAAACCCTTTTATGCAGACACACTTATCATATACTTTTTATTGCTGTTATTAGAACGTTTCACATGTTATCTAACAACTATGTATCGCGAAGTTTATACGGAAGGGGAAACTATACGGCTTGATTGCCTCTCCTGATCACTACCAACACTGCTGTGCGTGTTTCCTCCAGGTCTGAATGGCTCTCCTCTTGGTGCTCCGTGGAACTGTCCTCCTGAGCCTCTGAATGGTCCTTCTCCTAGTCCGTCGTGGAACTGTCCTTTCGGACCTTCGTGGAATTGTCCACCTGGAATTCCGTGGAGTTGTCCTTCTGGGCCCCGAAATGGTTCTTCTCCTAGTCCTTGGTGAAACTGTCCTCTTGGGCCTCCGCGGAATTGTCCTCCGGCTCCTCCGTGGAATTGACCTTCTGGGCCTCTGAATGGTTCTCCTCCTAGTCCGTTGTGGAACTGTCCTCTGGGGCCTCCACGGAATTGTCCTCCAGCTCCTCCGTGGAATTGTCCACCAAATTCTCTGAATGGTTCTTCTTCTAGTCCTTCGTGAAACTGTCCTCGTGGGCCTCCGTGGAATTGTCCTCCGGCTCCTCCGTGGAATTGACCTTCTGGGCCTCTGAATGGTTCTCCTCCTAG